TTTTTAAAACAGTCCTTATAATAATAATAATTCTAATTAATACACTTAATTGGAAAAGATATTTTAGAAAAGACAATACTTATTTATTATAAAAAACTAATTCAAATTAATTAAGTAGCTCTTATATTAAAGACATGAAGTAGTATTAAGAATTATGGGAAGGTTTTTTGATAAAGAATTAAGAACCAAACGAATTATTATTTATATTTCACCCTAACCTAGTCATAAATCTTCCAATGCTCGTCTTCTTCTTTCATTAACAAAAGAATTTTCCGAAGAAATTTAGTGAAACCAAATGTTACGGGCCAATCAATGATCTTAAGCTTTATACTTTTGAAAAAGCCAATGCGGAAATATAAGGAAAGGGGCGAAGAAAAAGCCGAAGAACCATGATGGATTTTTTTTTGGTGATAATTTTTTTTGTTATAACAACCATGACGGAAATTTTACGGAAGCAGTTATATGTAATCCGTCAATTATTTGTAATAAATAAATGTTGTCTTTTTCAAAATATCCTTACTAATTAAGCGTATTAGCTACAACTACCATTATCACAAAAGCTACCTTAAAAAATAGATAAATATGATAGACAAAGTGGATTGTAGTCTTATATTTAGAATCAAAATAAAAACTAAATTAATTTTTATGTTATGGACGGGAGGTACTAGGAGCATAAACATTTTTACAAAAATAAAGTAAAGTACGAAACAAGAATTGCTAACAAGAATTGCTAATAAGCTGACACGTGACATCATCTATGTATAAATAAATGGTCTTTACTTCTTCTTCTTTCTTTTTTTTTCTAAAGCCACGTTTCCATGTTTCTCAATTAGTTTTCTTGTATTAAAATATATATTGTCACTTATCAACTCATTCTTTGCAAAACTCATGCTCTTGCTGTTAATCGGAATGTTCCTCAAGTAATTGCTATTGTAAACTAGCAGTTTTTGCATCATAACTGCACATGCGTGATAGTTGCTAAAGTTGCACGGTTCAATAAGAGGGAGCTTCTCGGTTATCTACTTTGCTATCTTTATGAAGTTTATGCATAACAACATTATATTGTGATTATATATATTAGCAAAACATGTTATAATAGTAGATATAACATCTAGGAGCAATCTGTATTTAGAAAAAGGAAAAAGAAAGAAATCCAGGAGCAACAATACTCTGAATGTTTGAAAATAAGGATCTTATAGACGTGTCACAAAAAAAAAAACATTTAATATTACATATAAAGAGGTTTTTTATAATCTAATGTCCTAAATATATATATATATATATATAAATTTTAACTAACTGTTACATTGTGATTCAACTTTTTACACTATACAAAGAAGTGCTAAGTGTACTAGTTCCGTGTTAAACGGTCGCCAACTGAACATTATTGGGATGAGAAAAAACAGTATCGTATAAAATCAACTATGTAGCCATGGTCCATAGCTGACAATGATAGTCAACGCCCATCTTGAGAAGCACGTTTAAGAGTTATTGGGGAGCTGGTTTTTTCTTCGAAGGAAATTACCCATCACCTTCTGCTGCATTTTCCCATTTAGTGCGCATAAAGGTCATGTTTAAAAATAATTTTTCCCCTCTGAATTATTGCTTTAAATGGTTGGAGATCTCACAAAAGTACAATAAAGACCGCATGTATTTCTGCTCGGAAAAGAAAGTTATAATGTTCTGCTTCCTTCCCACATTATAGAGGATCAGTTTTGAGTTTTGACAGGCATTCACAAAGAGTTTGGTTTTTCCCTTCTTTAATGAAGAACTTCACTAGACACTTCAAAAAATATAAGATAAATATTTTCTAAGAGAATTACGAGCCAAGCACGTGATTTCGAGTTGGAGTTCCACAAGAAAAATTTATATTCACATGTTCAAAATATGTCAAGTGTAATATCATTTAGTAAAAGTTGCTACATATGCTGTAAGCCTAAACCAATACTATATTTGTGCAGCACACATGCTAAGACATAGGCCCACGCATAATAACACCCTCGTGTTGTAAACATCCACATGGTGATCGGTAAAAAGTTTTTTTTTTTTTTTTTTTTTGTTTTGAGTGCACGCTCATGGTTTTCATTAACTAGAAGTCCCCATGCCACATTACCTGTAAAAGCAGTGGATCTTATTTTCAGTCTACTCCTCCTAGAAATATATATATATATATATATTTCTCTCTCTCTAGCAAACTTTGGTTGTAGGCAAAAGCTGTACATTCCAGCAGCATGTACACACACACACATATATTTCTTCGTTTCCGCGTAAGAGGATAAATCTGTCTTTCATTCTTTGTTAAGTGGTCCCGAACTGAACTTTCATTGAGACATTGATATGAGAAAACGCAGTAACGTTATAAAATCAACCCCCACTTTCACGCGTAAAGTATATGTCCCCCTCCCGGGAAGAAAGTTCAAAACGGAGCATTCATATACAGAAGAAAATGGGCAGGCGTCGTTGAAAAATGTTAAAGAACAACGTATTTGGACGAGTTAGTTGATTGGAACAATTTGCATCATCAAATTGAATAGAGATCTTTGACACTTAATAAATACTCCTCCGGTCTTTAATATAGAACGTAATTATTAAGTTGATTTTGGTTCTAAACATAAGACCTATTTTTTATATTTATCAATTTTTTCTAAATTACTCTTATAGATACTTCGTCAACCATAATGAAGTAGAAAAGAAGAGAGGATATTGAAAAGATAATTATGGTGTTTTAGGAAAAACATGTCATATTTTTTATAATTAACTAACTTACCTAACTTCTCTAATCTAATCAAATCAGTTAAATAGGTCTTATGTTAAGGACCGGAAGCATACTCTTTACTACAGTTTTAATATGGTCGACCCTGGACAGTCACCTTACCAAGCAAGTCAACGAACCCTCATCTTCTTGAAATGGAAATTTGACGCGCGTTATGGGACTATCGTGTTTACCGCGAGTGAATTATGTCACACCTCTGACTTTTTTAGTGATATTAAACCCAAACAGAGAAAAGCTTCGATTTCAAGCAGTCGGAATTTACGTTCCATTCGGTACCTGAGAAATGGAATTCGTCTTTTACACAGGCCATTGATTCTGCAATTTACACAATCCAATGTTCTTTAGTTCACCAGCTTGGAAATTATTTTTAAGGAACGCCCAATCAGCGCTTATAACCAGCCCAAATCAGCAATTCAAAATTAACTTTCACATTAAGCAATAAATAAATCGATCATCATGTTTCTTAGTTTTGATTCATTGCATATATTGCAGAAAACGCATAAAACATGCGCATTTTTGTAGCCGTTTTTTCAGTAGTGGTTGAAGCAGAGCTGCAAACCATAGATAAAAGCTTCCGCCATGGATCTAAGGAAGAAGAAGAAGCTTGAGGGAGGACATCATTGGAGCTCGCAATCCAGGAAGATTCATTTTCTTTGTAGGGGAAGAAGCATCCATATCGATCGGGATAAAGCTTGGAAGAAGACTACCGCTTTTCTATCGATTTGGACCCAACTCCGAGTCCCATTTTCAGGTTGTTTTCGTGAGGCTACTCTGGGTTGAGTTCCAGTTCCAGACTAGCAAGCGACAGCGTTTTGGAAGAGATCAGGAGATCAATCTTGCTTGTTTCTCGAGTCGTTCCCGTAAAAATTGTCCCTTATTTTCAATGCTTCAGGTCAAATGGGACCCAAACGTAACATTTTTCAACAAGGCTTTGAATCTTACTCCACTATATTATAAGGAATCTGCATTTTTTGTTGTACTTCCGTTGTTGATATAGAAATTAGGAAGAATTATAATAAGATCTTAAAGAAAAAAAATAGTTATTAAAAAAATCTCAACAACAACTTAAACAGTTCCAATTTCCAAAATAGAAAATAACAATTTTTAAAACTTACTTTTGTAATTATTTTTTTCTTAAGATCTCAACGTAATTCTCCCTAAAAATTATTGTTTGCTGTTCCATCACAATAAACACGAGACTCCTAATGTAATTAGTTTCGGCGCAGGCACTAAACCCATGATCAAGTCACTGTTCAAACATGTTTTAATAAAGATGCTAGCGCATTTTGAATGACTTGAAGTTCCAAGCGTCTTAGATTTTCTTTTCCCAAGCAGCTCGACTACCGACATCTCAGCATGCAAAATACACGTATCTAAAATGTCTTTTGTTACAGCCTACCCACTGTAAAAATCAAAACAAGATCTCTCTCTCAGGATAGAGCTCGCTCCCACACAAGCCACATTCTATTGATGACCTTCTTGGTACGAATCATTACGCTCATATAAGACGAGTCTTGACAAAACTGCACGTTAGAATAAAATAAAACCCAATAAAACATAAAACAAACAGATAATGATTTCTGGCACTAAGGTTGATCACACAAGACTAGAAATGAGAAACCAGATATCCTTATTTTTGTACTCTTGGTTCTTGTCTGTAATTTCATAAATCCGTGGTTCTCCCGTGTTTCCATGATCTTTATAGGTCAGTCTCCCGTACAAAACCTAATCAACCATAAAACAAACGGAACATGAAAAGCATATTCTCTGTGGGATCCTAGCCAAACCATATTGCCAATGGTTTCTGACAGCAAGGTTGATCACGGAATGGCATAATAAGCTAGCTTTTATGGGGGGTTTTCTATCTCTGATTGATTGTCTTGTTGCAACATTATTCTCTTTCTCCGATGGTGCCATCTGTCCCTCCTTGTTGCTGCTCTCTTGATACGCAAGTCATGGAAGTATCAACCTGCTTCCCCAGTTCAAATTTCACAAGTGAAAGAAATCCAGTATGTTTTCAAATCTCTCTATAATTTACGAGCAAGTATACAGTTAGTTTGCCCTATTTGCCAAAGAATGCTAAAGTTCCTTATTAACCATGCAACATATCCATATTACAGTGCATACAATTTGAACTTTCACACATCAAGCAAAATTGCAATGTGAGAAATACATGCATATCAATAAGCATTGCTTGACCAGATAAAAAATGATGTTCCCAACAGAATCAGGAAATGTTTGCATTCTGCAATGATTTGCATGCCACTGCACCTGCAGATGTCCGCATTACATGCTCCCCGAGCATTGCTATACAAGAAGCATCTGTCTTAAGATGAGGCTGTACGGATTCCCAGGTCTTCTTTTTTTGAATCTGCAGGTGGTGACAGAAGAATAGTAAATATGGCATCGAAACATGGGACTGAGATCACTGATAAACTACCTAGATATAACAGAGAAACAATAAACTTTGCAAGAAATTTTAAGAGAAAATATCACCTTTTCATTTCCTTCAGCTGAACTAGACATATTTTTGCGTATTGTATAAAATTTGATAAATGATTTGAGTTGCTTATAGCTCATAAATAGTGTAGTTTGCTGTGACCTTTTTATAATATATTGAGAGCTTGTTGGAGTAGGAGGGATACAAGTCGGATAATAGGTCACTCAAGACTATACTGTCATTTTCCTTGGAATTACTATCCTTATGTTCGTCGATTCCAAAATTCACTTCAACGGAATTGATGTCACTCGTTCCTTTCCATGTCCTCATTCCTAAACTCTAGAATGTGATTGAATTCAGTGTTGCCACATCAAAACCAATTCCAAATAGCTGTAGATCCCATTCCATCAACACAACCCAGAAAGAGAGGCTCATCGAACAAGAAAATTCAGCGATTCAATTGAAAATCGCCCAATATTTAAGATGGCAAAGTATCATGCATAACAACAATTAGGAAGTACAGAAGAACATGTAAAAGCAAAGTCAACAGGTAATATCAGGACATGGGAGGATGAAAAGAAAAGCAATCAGTGTCTGAGCTTAAAAATTCAACCATCATAAACAAAAGCATAGTTTTTGCAATTATTGAGATAATTTTCAGAGCCCTACCAGGCTTAACAGAAAGACTGTTTCCTTCATAACTAGCTGTAATTAAAGTTTCGGAGCTACTAATGCCTTTTCTATTATGCAAAAGTGACAACTATTCTTATGTCTCAACAAAATTTGCCCATAACTGACAAGAATAAACTTATCCCGATATTTTTAGCAGTAAAAAAATCATTGTCCTAAATTATAGAACTCATCCGCATTGGAGAAAGCTATTACCTGATTAGGAGTCGCGGGAGCAGGTTGATTTTCCTTTTCATCTTCTGACCCAAACCATACTCTTTCCCCAGGGGCTGCTTCCTCAGGAGGAAAAAGAAGTTCAGCATTCTCATGCTTGGCATCAGAAGCAGCCATGAGCATGCCGGAAGACTTGACACCACGCATGTTCCTTGGCTTCAAATTGGAAACGACAATTACTTTTTTGCCCAGCATATATGAATTATTTATTACGTTGAACAATGTCAGACTTTAAGTTCAATTCCGAAACATCATTTCGATTTAAAAACAGTTACTCCAGTCCGGCAGAAAGAATCTGTCTAAGCCATCAACTCATGCATTATTTGCAGAACATAAACCGTCTTGCTAACAGAATTCTCATTTCAAGGAGCAACAAAAGGACAGGCCTTGAAAGTAAAGTATGAAAAATAACTGTTCTTCTCTAAACGACCTTAGTAAGTCCAAGAAGACAAATTGACATGGAAGACCAGCGCAAGATGCATCTTGCAGTTCTTTTTTTTTTTTTTTAATTATCATTAAAACTTCAAAAACACCAACGAGATCTTGTGTGTGTGTGTGTGTGTTCCCATCCACGTTTTGTCAATTCGTTTATCACATTTGTAACAATGTCAAATAGAGATCCTATTTTTCCAAGGTAGAGAAACTAGGAAGACAGCTGCCAAATACATTGAGTACGAATCAAATTATCAATTTTAAACAACAATTTTCTCATTTATCAAAGTATGAATGCTACTAATAAAGGCTCAGCAACGAAATCTTATACCAAGCTGACATCGAAAAATTACCTCAAGATGGTCAAGAGGAATGTATTTGACAAGGCCACTGCAAATGATTCTGGGCTCTGGCTCACCAATATCCACCTCTTCCACATAAAGAGAGTCAGCCTCCTCGTGTTTCCACGCCCTGAGAATTCTCCCAACCCTTATGTCCAGCAAGCCGGCGGCGTCTTTAACATTTATTTCATTGTTACCAGAAGCATCACCGGAAGTGGTTGCGACGGATTCCGTCACTGCTTCATCAGTAGAAGCGGTGCAAAAAGAAGAGAAGGGATATGAGATTCTTCTTCTTTCTCGGGATGGTGATGAGGAGATGGAGAAAATGGGGAATTTGGATTGAGTAATAAGAGAAGAACGAGTTACCAAGGAAGAAAAGGATCCATAGGCCCTAGTTCTCCATAAGGAAGAAAGCAACAGCATAGTACTGCTGCCCTTTATAGCATTTGCAGCGACGGTGCTCGTCGCCATTGCCACCGTAGTCTGATCTTCTGCGATCTTTTACAGCTTTCCGGCTGTGCGTAATGGTATGGGCTCCCGAGTGTAAAAATTTAAATTATAAAAACCCTTGTAGGAAATAACTACATGAACACGCAAGAAAATAAACTACTGCATTTTCTATTCAACTTATGCTTTGGTATGATATTAAAATAATCTCTTTTTTCTCAGGGGAAAAAAATGTGATTTGGCCCTCAGAAAGTTATTTTTGAATTTATTTTAAATGTCAGTGGCTAGTTATCCCAACACTATTTCTTGATCTCCAATTTGATTTGGATTTTTCCCTCAAGATCTCAAAGAGATAAAGCCACTTGATATTTACCACCTTTAATTCTTAATATAAAAATTAGGAGAGAGTTAAATTTGTTCTTAAATATAATATTTTAATCTATTTTGTTTTTTTATTTATTCAAACTAACCATATTGATTATGTATGTTAAGTGAGTTTGCATTAAAGGATAATTCTAGTCTAAATGACTTAAAATAGTATTTATAGCGAAACCAACACATACTTTTCACAAACAGTTAATTTAACTACTTTATTGATCTACCTAAATTAGATACGTCTGATCCTTAATATATGATCTACTTGACTAATTTGGATATATTAAAGAAAGCATTTAAATTAGTTAATTCTCTTGTCTTTAATATAAGACTTATTTAATTAATTTGATTAGACTGAAGACGTTAGACAAGTTTGTTAATTATAAAAAATATAACATGTTTTTCCTAAAACACCATAACCATCTTTTTTAATATCCTCTCTCCCTCTTCTACTTGATTATAGTTGAGGGAGTGTGCATAGGAGTAATTTAGGAAAACTTGACAAATATGAAAAATATATCTTATATTTAGGACCAAAATCAACTCAATAATTAAGTTATATATTAAGGATCAGAGGAGTATTCGTTAAAAATATGTGTTGATTTTCATAAGATACCTCCTTAAATAATTCGGATTAAAACTACCTCTTGATACAAACTACTTTAATATATACAATCAATCGGGTTACTTTGGATAAGTAAAAGAGATAAAATAGATTAGTAACTTATATTTTGGACTAAATTTAACCCCCTACTAGCTCTTATATTAGAACCTAAAATAATATTAAGATGCATTAAGGTGGGGGAAAACCTCCCATATCTGTAACGAGGCCTAATCTTACTGCCATATTTGGCTCTTCTTGTATGGTGCCTACAATCAGTATAAAAAAGATAAAATAAAATTTCATTTTTAAAAAAATTACCTTCCGCGCCCAATGTAATATAGAACACCTTTTCTACGTAGGTTATCCGCCACAACTGATTTAGAAGGTGCATCAAAGATATACAATTATTCAATTTTCTGTTCATTCTTGTGTTTGTCGTTCTCTTCACAGACCCAATAATGCCTTCGTCTTGGTCTTGGTGTTTGAAGAAACCCACAAATTCTATAGTATATGGTATAAACATTTTTAAAAAAATAAACTTCAATCAAAACAAATAAAGAGAAAGAGAGGTTCTCATCACAAGTCATAACCATGTGCAGGTACCTTCCTGGTTCAATAACTTTCAACTATCACAAAACACGCAACATTTTTTTAATTTTACATCAAACACTGCTGGATTAAGATAAAGGTAAAAAGGAACAAAACACGTAGAAATGAAGTCCACGAGACAAACAATATGCAAAACAAAAAAGCAACAAAAACAAAGAAACAAAATAGAAGAACCAGCGTATCCATTAAACTGAGCAACATTTCAGAACCTCCTAACACTTGTAGTATCTTGTTCCAATATAGAGGGAAAAGAAGGCGATGGCACAGAAATCCACCCTATCAAGCTCACCTCCTTGCAAATACTCCCTGCAGTAAAGCTAGCAATTAAGCAAATCTTACTAATAATAATGGAAAGAGACATATTATAGGGAGAAGCATAAAGTATAGACGCATTATACACAGACAAAAGGAGAAATGCAAATACCTCTAAAACTATCGTCTGTGACAGGGCTTGATTCTGCGGCCATGATTGATTCTTGTTCTACGCAACAACACAAGAAATTTTACAATGACCACTTCCACAAAAGCAAAGTAAGCATCACTCCAAGATCTCTTCATTGCTAATATGAGAAAAGGCACTAAAAGCCCGGTAGCAAATCCCAATCCAACACTCAAGTAAAACCACTTATCAATGAGCCCATCAGAATCATCTGCTTCATCATTGCCTGCTTCCTTGTTAGAACCATTAACATGACCATAACCATTACGTAGGCACCTCACGGGAAGGGGACAACCATAGAGATCAGGGTTCCCAACAAATGAAGATGCTTCGAAAGTTGTTGTGTGACCTGTGTAAGGGATGGGACCTGAAAGGTTGTTGTAGGACAAATTCAAGTAGCCCAAAAATGATAAGGAAGACAAGTTTTGAGGAATAGAACCAGTGAGTTGATTACTTGAGAGATCAAGGGATGATAGCTGACTCATATTTGATATGCTTTCTGGAATGCTGCCGGTTAGGTGATTTCTTGATAGGTTCAAATAGGTTAGACCACATAGTTTTGTCAATTCATGGGGAATTCTTCCAGACAAGTTGTTTCCAAAAAGGTCTATGCTGGTGACTAGATAAAGAGTGGTGGTGTAGGTCAATGACTGGCCTTTTGCATTCACAGCCAACCTATTTTTAAATCTCATCTCATATTCATAATTTGACCGGCTACCTCCAACATACATTCCCATGAGATTCTCCGCATTGTTGTTTAGAGTCATTGCTTTAAGATCAC